AACATGGCACCAACCAGTTCTACACACACAGTTGGGGACCACCCCCAGGACCCACTGGAGTAAGAAGGTGCCCAAAAATCTGGATTCTTGAATCGGCCCTCCCCAGATGGACCACCACACTGTAACGAGAATGAGACCCATGTACCAACTTTAAAACAATCTATTTTGAGGATAGGTATCTTGGTTACAGTGGCTTAGACTTTACCCTAACGAATCTACCCTTCCTTCTGAGTAAGTAGGACATAATCCCAAGGGTCTTACAACCAGCCAAGCGTCGTGTGGTACATCTACCCAGACAACTACACAATAGTTTCCACAAGTTTCCCTCTGCTCAGGAGTGATTTAGGGGCAGGCAGAATAGGAACCTCTTGCCCCTAGCCTGGGCCAGACAGCGAAGTCCCCTAGGCTCAGAGCAGTGACTAAGCACTACACTGACATGAGTAGCATGATAGGGGGACAAGGAGGGACACAACGGTGACCTCTGACCAGATACTAGCCTGAAAAGAGGAGACTGTGGCCTGGCACCAGAAGTGTGCCCCCCACCACATCACCCCTGCCAAGGGCGGAGTCCTGCTCAAGCTTCCTAGGATGCAAATACAAGCTCAGGGAAAGGGAGAGGCAGGACTCCAATCCAGAGCAGTTTCATTCCTGGGCAGGCAAGTGATCTGAGTTCCCAGGGAGTGACTCCTGCAGTTTTATGGAATGTACTACCTAAGAGCTTCTGTTTTCTCCTCTGAACTTGAAAGTATGGGAGGCTGAGACTGAAGACAAACAGCAAGGAGAGCCAAGTGTCCTTGCAAGTCAGGGATCCAGCTGTGCCCCAAACCACCCCTGCCTTGGAATTAGTAGCAGGCCAGCTGCATTGTTTTGCTAGAGTTGCTGTGACAAATTGCCATAAACCGTGGGGCTTGAAACAACAGAAATGAACTCTCTGATACTCCTGGGGGTTAGAATTCCAAGATTCAGGTGTCAGCAGAGCCACGTTCCCTAATAAGACTCTAGGGGAGGACTGTTGCTTGCCTCTTTCTAGCTTCTGGTGGTTGCCAGCAATCGGGGGCACTCCTGTTAGCTGCATAGCTCATCATGTGGCCTTCTTTTTTCTGTAACTTCACATGGTCTTCCCTCTGTGCATCCCTGTGTCCAAATTTTCCTCTCCTCATAAGGACACTAGTCATTGGACTAAGAACCCACCTTAACTCGATTATGTCTTCAAAGATTCTATTTCGAAGTGAGGTTACGTTTGCAGCTGTAAGGTGGGGGTTAGGATTTGAACAGATGTTTTGGGGGAGCACAATTCAACTCCCAACACCAGTCAGTAAATTCCCTGAGCTTAACCACTTTGGGTTGGGTTTTTTATCATTTGCACCCAGAAAGAGGTAGCCAAGGTTCACCCCCTAATCTCAGTCGACTGCTGAGACCCACAGCTGTGCCATTAACCATAGGACAACTATAGATAGAACTGAATAGACTATATGTCTATTCAATCTCTCTCTTTCAAATGTCAGTGGCTCCACTCTGGGCAGAGGCCCAGGGTCATACAACGCACTCAAGGAATATGAGACTGATTGCTATCTAATTAATTAACCAACACTCAAATAGTGAAAATGCGACACTGAACTCAGCATGGTTTATCACAGGGCACCAGGCTGAGAGGTGGCTAGCATTTTTATTTTGGAAATAGAAAGGTATTGATTGTCTGCATGGCTCTATTTCAAGATTTCTCCCTGATTTTGAAAGATCACCTCAGGTGGCGTTAAGAACATCATTTCCTCCTCCCCAGACATTTAATTTCCAATATAGCACACAAGCCATGCTTTTTTTTTTCACATGCATGGCTGTGTTGACTTCGGGGCCTGAGAAGAGGCTGTAATTTCAGCTTGTTATACTAAAAATATGAAAATAAAACTCATCTCTGTAGGATCATTTTAAATGAAAACTACTTCCTAGAGTCAAGCAAGCTGAGGAAGAAAACTGATTGAAAGCGAGCACAGGTCTCTGGGCAGGAGGGGTAATTAATGGTGGAAGGCAAAAGCCAGGTCTTCTGCAGAAAACCAATAGGAGCTGTCGAAAAACCCACTCAGCTCAGGTCAGATGTTTGGTGACATCTTCCCCAGTTCCTTCGGCTGGGCTCCAAAATCACTGTGAAACACCACCAGCCACTGACCACTCTCTTCCTTGAATCCTGCTTGGCTGGGTATCATATATCTTCTCCATGCCAGACTCAGTCCACAGCCAGCCAGCAAAACTTGAGTGGGCAGGGGAATCCCCTGGGTAGCTCAGTTTCTGAGAAAAGCAGATTTGAGGCTACACTCCTGGGCATTTTCATGCCATGGGTGTATCGGTTTCTTGTGGCTGCCACAACCAGTTATCACAAACTGGGTGACTTAAAACAGAAATTTATTCTCTCACAGCTGTGGAGACCAGATGTCCACAGTCAAGGTGTCAGCAGAACTGATTCCTTCTGGAGGCTCCAAGGGAGAATCTGTTCTGTGCCTCTTCCAGCTTCTGGAGGTGGCTGGCAAACCTTGACATTCCGGGATTTGCACTGTACAACTCCGATCTCTACTTCCATCTTGATATGGCCTCCGTCTGTGTGTGTCTGTCTTCCCATGACCTTCTCCCTTGTATCTCTGTGTCTGAAATCTAGCTTTACTTTCTTTTATAAGGACACCATTAGATTTAGGGCCCACCCTAAATCCAGAATGATCTCATCTCATAGTCTTTAACTCAATTATATCTGCAAAGGCCCTATCTCCAATAAGTTTCCATTCACAGCTACTCAGGGGTTAGGACTTTGATGCAGCCATGGTGAGGAGGTAGGCACACAATAGATTTGGGGAGAGGCTCTGAAACTTGCATTTTTCCCAATAATGCAGAGTGACTCTTTGTACTTTTTGCTCCCCAAATGACTGGTGCAGGTGATGTGTAGATCATACTCTAACAAACACTGACTTAGTCTCTGAGGATTCAAAGCTGAGTAAGACATGATCCCCTCCCTTGGAAAACCTATTGTCTAGCTGAAAATGTAGACAGATGAACCAATGATTAAAATACAAAGTACAGTCTAGGTGGCTCAGTCGTTGGGTGTCTGCCTTCGGCTCAGGGCATGGTCCCAGGGTCCTGGGATCGAGCCCTGCATTGGGCTCCCTGCTTGGTGGGAGGCCTGCATCTCCCTCTCCCTCTGCTTGTGTTCCCTCTCTTGCTGTGTGTCTCCCTGTCAAATAAATAAATAAAATCCTAAAAAAAAAAAAAAAATACAAAGTATAGTCTAATGATCCCAAGAAAGTCAGACAAACCAGGGTTCAAATTCTCTAGCTCCTTAGCCTGTCGGAGCCACAGTTTCCTTATCTGTAAAATACAAAGTAATTCCTACTCTATACCGTGATGAGATTGAGGCTATATAAATGCTTAACATTGTTGAGGGACTCAAGAAATAGACATTCGCTATCATGAAAGCGGCAAGTATACCTCCTTGCTGTGTGCCTTCCACATTCTAAAGTCTTTAATGAATGTCTGCGGAAGGCAAGAAGGTCTTACCCTGAAGAAATGCGGCTGGGACAGGCGAGGCAACTCCTGAAAGACCCATTTCAGGATTTTGATTTATTCCATAAGCATTCTGGAGGCACCTGCTGTGTATGGAGCTCAGTGTGTAGGCACTTGGAACAAAGCCAAGGAAAACCCATGTTGGGTTGGGGGGTGGGTAGGAACCACCAGTCTGCAGTACAGTGTGTTCAGTGCAAGGTGGAGGTAAGCCCACCACAGAGAGGCACATTCGAATGCAATTAAGCATTTCCTTCCTTTGGTTTTCCATCCTTTACATTCCATTCCTTAGCATTCTTTGTGTCTATTGTGTGACTCTCCCTAACTGCAACATATGCTCCAGTAAACAAACTAAACCAGGGAGAACTAATGACATCTTATTCCTCTTCAGAAATACGCTTCCCACACACTGGACATTAAGTACCGTTATCAGACTGACTTGGAGCCCCAGAAAATGACTAAAAGAGAAGGACATTACCAGGTTTCCCTCCAACATCCCGCAAGGGGAAGGAAGAGAGCAAACCACTACACCCCACATTGTGTGCACAGGAGTCAAGTCCAAGAAACCCCAAGTTGGCCTGGGGGCAGGGGGATGGTTCTCAGGAGGGAGAGAATGGAAAATTTCAGAGGGATGCTCAGCAGTGGCTAACTGCTGTCACATATGGTGGTGAGTCAGGAAGAGCCACCTACCTGTGAGAGGGACACATCAGTCCTTACTCTCACCTGGAGGAGTCCGTGGACAGCCTCTCGCACGCCAAAAACTCAGGTGGGCTCAAGTGGGAACAGCTTAGACTACAAGTGGACCCAGGGGAGTTTGTGACGGCGGGGGTGGGGGGGAACAAGGGGCCTGGTGTTTCTGCTTCCACAGATCGAATGACTTCTGCACCTGTCTTTCTCAGCCTTTGATAAGGGCTCTCCGCCTTACACGGGGTAGGCCCACCGTACACACGTGTTGACAGAAATGACTAAGTGACCGCATGAAGGCTACGGAGGACCCCGAACTCCCCTATCCGAACCTCCACTATAGGTAATTCCACCTGGCCCGAGTGGAACCCCAGGGCCCGGATCCCCCCACCCCCGCGCACCCCCTTTCCGCTTCGGCACCGGCCGTCCAATCGCAAGGCTCCAGAACAGTGGTGACCAGGCAAGCAGGTGGGGCTTGGCGCCTCTCCTCCCGGATGCCCGCGCTTCGCTCTCCAATCCGGGGCCAAACCCTGCCGGGGTGCGGTGGGGGGAGAGTGGGAAGGCCCCTCCCCAGAAGCTGGCACCAGATGGCGCGGAGCAAAGCGGCGCCCGGCTCGCCCGGGAAGCGCGGGAGGAACAGAGCACCTGGCGGGGGCGGGGGCCGGCGCATCCCCCGCGCGTCCCCGCGCCGCTCTGCCACCCTGGGGGGCGCGGGCTGTGGGCCGGGGCGGCCGCTCTAGCCGGCCCTGTTCCCCCGGCCGGCGCCTCGGCCTCACCTCGCTCACCAGCCCCTGCCAGTCGCTCTCGGTCCCGTCTCCGTTCATGGCCTCCTCCTGCAGGCGCGGGCCGGCTTCACGGACGCCGCCCTCCTCCGCCTCCGCCTCCGCCTCCACCTCCTCCTCCACCGCCTCCGCCTCCGCCTCCGCCTCCCCCCGCCGCGCCGCCGCCGTCGCCCCGAACCGAGCCCCGCGCGGCCCCGAGAGGGCCGGGCGCCTCCGAGCCGCCGCGCCGCCGCCTGCGGCCGCCCGCGCTATTGACTCAACGTCCGCCTCCGCGGGAAGGGGAGGAGGAGCCGCGGCCTCCCGGGCCGCAGCCACAGTCCGCCGGGCCCCGGGCCTCCCCGCGCAGCCCGACCTCCAGGTCCCTGGCCTCCCGCTCCCCGACCCGCGACTGCCACGCGGGACCCAGCCCCTGACACCCCCGATCCCCACGCGGGTCCCCTGACTCCTGCGCCCGGGCCCTGGCCCCACGCCTGCCATCCTCGCCCCTGCGCCCAGCCTCGCAGGGAAGGAGCCGGAGGGGGCCTCAGCATTCTATTCTGGTCGCTACTGGCTCAGAGATTCCTGCTCTCTCCTGCCAGGAAGTGGGCTCCACAGGCACCTGCGTGTCCACTGCAAGAACCAAGCCCCCAAATCCAGCCAGCCCCTGACCCACTTCCAGAGAGTAAGCCCCACCGGGGCAGGTCAGTGGCTTTGTTCTCCAGGGAACGTCAGGTACGGGGCCTGGCACATCGTAGGAGCTATACAAATATTTGATGGTCATGGGAATGAAGGGACCACGTGTTATATATTTAACATTGTTTTTGAAGTTCCTAATGTTTACTTGTATTTATTTCTCAAATTATCAGCTGTCATAAATAGAAAGCAAATGAAAAAAATTGAAAATAAAACAATACTGAAATCTAAATAGGACCCAAAGCTCTGAGTGGGGTGCTGCACTCTTTGGGGGGGGGCGGTGAGTGATGGTGGGGGGGAACAGGCTGGCTTCAAACAGAGACCGTCTCCTGAGAGGAAGGGCTGAAGAGAATTGTAGAGGTCAGAGAATCTTCACAAATAAGTCATTAATATTCAAGATGGTTTTTTCCCAGGTCTCCTAAACTCTCATGGACCACCACCAATGTGGACTTTCCAGTCTTGCAGAAGCCCTACCTGAGGGGATAAGCAGGTAGGTTAAGAGGCTATGGACCCATTTTACAGTTCTGGGAGCATCATCGCCAGCCTTTACTTATAATTTTTAGCCCCTTTTGGATCCTGGATCAATCCTGTGAGATGGGTGCTCTCTTCATGTATCCAATATGGAAACAGAGATCTGAAAAACAGAGAAACAGAGACCTGGCTAGGACGTCTGTCCCCAGAGGATCTCTTCAGCATCTTGGATGAACATGATGTACCACACCTGGGAGAAGGACATACCACATTTTATTGTTGGCCTTGTTTTGTCGGCCTGCAGACCGTCTGTAAATTTTAATAATTCCTTGCCCATGCCCCAGCCCGTGTCTGTAGCTTTGACTCTACTCTAGGCTCCGCCACATAACTAGCTTCAGCTAACGCAGTGTTTACAAATGTGCAGGAGGGCTAATCCTTGCTTATGCTTTTGGGAACCTGTGTGCCCTACCATACAAACAAGCCCAGGATAGCTTCCTGGATGATGGACTCAAGACCAACAACCAGCCAACTGCCACATATCCGAGAATGACGCCAATGACCCCCAGCTGCCACAGATGACATGTTCATGCATGAGCCCAGTAGGAACCGGCAAAAGAAGCACCCAGCTGAGCCTGGCCCAATTTGCAGACCCCAGATCACATGGTTAAATACATGGCTGCTATGTTTGAAGCCATTAAGGCTTGGGGTGGTTTGCTATGTATCAGTAGATAACCGGCATAGATGGTGAGGCTACTGAGAAAGAGCCTGGTTGGTCAGAACTGTCCCCAGCAGCCATTAACAAGCAACAGCCCCTGGCATCGTGAACCTTCCAGGCCTTCATCTAAAGAATATTCTACAACAGATTCTGGCAGGCCAGGGGCTCTGAGAAGGAGCCTGCCAGTCAACCAGGCAGCACAGTTATTCAGTGCCTGTTGTATACAAATACTGTATACATCCTGGGAATGTTCAATAATATTGCAGACCATGGTTCCTGTCCTGGAGGGTCTGCAAGCCTTACCATTGAGGTTTTGCAAAGTAATGTTCTAGCAAATGGGAAGAAAAGAAAGAAGAGGCTAGAATGCATCCTAAGGCTTCTGATTTCCTGACCATACTGGGCCACCTAATCCATTCTCTTTTTAATCTGAGGAGGTGGAAAGAAGGTTCATTCTCTGAGTTGAATGTCTAGGGTTAACTCAGTGTCAAACACTTGTTCCTAACAGCCTGATCAACGCCTCATGCTACAAAGCAAGGGATTGTCTGCCAATATATTGCCCTCTGGCAAACCATCTGGTTTCATCCGACCTGTCGAGGATCTACACTGCAGGAAGAGCAGGCATAACCCGGTCCATCTGCCTTCCACTGCCTCCTGGTCTGTGCCTCGTCTCAGCTGGCATTCAGGTAGAAAAGCAGCCCTTCCTTTCCTGTTACCATGTGCAGCTGAGGCTTGCAGGTCAGCTGCTGCTCTGGAGCCTTCCCTGGTGATTTCAGGCGGCAGGACAATCTGGAAGCAGTTGCAAGCCCAGGAATCGCCACCTGAGAGACCACATACCTTTAAGACAGCCCTCTGTATGACTCTGTTTCCCCTATGTGCTTTCCTTCCCTGCAATTAGTCAACCAGTTATTGAGGTATTTAAAAATAAAATTGGGGGAGGAAAATCAAAAGAGCAGCGAGCTTCTACCCACCCCAGCATGTGGGGAGACTTTTAACTCCATTGACATGGCCTCTGTAGTTGCTTGGGATTTTCCTTAGAGGTTTCCATGCCCCGAGTGCCAGCTTGAAGCTGCTTAGCTTGTGAGATGAGATTTAATCACGAACCGAGGCAATGGAGCTGCAAGCGATTCTTTTTTATCTCTTTTCATTTATGTAGCCTGACATTGAGTAATAATAATAATTAAATGCAGTTTAAGCTTTTAGGCACCTATACCAGAAGGCCTCTAGATACCTCATCAATAGCAGCCCAGGCTGACAAAAACAAAGCTAATTATATTGTGGTGAACTTTCATCAAAGAAAAAAACTGAAACTGCTCACCAACTGTCCTTATATCTGATAAAAGCGGTACTTTAAGTGTTCCAACCCACAGTCCATTTGCACAGGACCAATGGAAAACCAGGAGTGTCTTAAGTCTTTTTCTGAAATTTGCCACCCAGACACTAAGTATTGAAACGTTGGCTTTCACCTCTATTTTCACACCCCCTTAGCACTCTGAAAAATCTCCAGGGTCCCAATTTTTCCGTATTGATTCATAGCCCCAGGGCCAGGTTTATTTATTTATTTATATGTACCTATAGTGTTAGAAGAAAGTGCTTAGATGCTTTTGAGTGATGTGTCTGACTTTCAAAAGTTTGAGAGGGTTTTAGATGTGGCAACTCCAGAATAGCTTAATCTAAGATATTGAAGCAGCAGATAGACACTGATGAAAACCAAACCAAACCAAACAAACAAAAACCTCCGGAGAGACTGGGAACAAAAGGAGGACTTGAACTTGTTGTTGGAAACGTAGCCTCTCATCACCCCATCTCCACTGACTTGCGAGATAACTTTGGCCGAGTCCCAACAGGCCCCAGACACCCAGGAAAGCCCTAAAGCTTTTGATACAACTTCTCCAGACAGTATTTTCAATTCAGATTCTGGCGGCCCAAGCAAAAATGTCAATGTTCTCCTTAAAGGGAACCTAGCAAATCTCTAGTTGAGATTTTTGGCTCAGCTTTTCTCTGAACTACGCAACTGGGGCAATACCCATGACCACTCCTTTCCCCCAGTCACCTTTCTCCTGTCTGAATTAGGAAATCCAGTCTGATGAGCCTGGGAAGAAAATGATCTATAATGATACGGTTCTTTGTGATATATGTTATGTACACACACACACACGCGTGCACACTATATGTGTGTGTGTGTGTGTGTGTGTGTGTGTGTGTATAAAATTAAAAAAAAATTAACTCCATATAAGCCAAGGTCCTCAATTCTTGCTTTTGTCAAAGGAGGGACATTTAGACAGATCCTGCCAGGAACCCTCCCCCACGTCACCTGGTTGCTAAGTGCATTCCTTTGTTCTTGATTTTAATGGGGGGGGGGCGGGTGGAGGACTGCAGTGGACTGTAGGTCCTAGCATCTTTGGCAGTCAGGCTTGCTACAGAGCCCTGAGACCCAAGGTCCCCTGGGCCACTGGCCTCAGCTCTGTAAAAGATAAGCCTTCTCTCTTCGCCTACCTGGGGATGCTCTGCAAAGCACTTCATCCATCATTTCCCTACCAGGGCTGGCAGCCAGACATCAGACAGACCTCAATTCTGCCCAGGGTTCCTGACTCAGAGCATCTTCTATCTGTTTGCCTCCTGAGCTCCTGGACCCCCTCTCTGCCACCACTAAGCCCTCCTTACCCAGCAGCAAACAATCAGTTGCTCTCTGCTGGCCCTCCTCCCCCCAGCCCCGCTGGCTGCCAATCAGCCCGGCAGCAGGGGGTGGAAGGAAGTTCCACTCCCCGCTGAACCGCCGCTGAGGTGCTCAAATGACTGACTGGGGCTGATGATGGCCTCGCAGGCCGGGACCCGCAATTGCCATCCTGGAGGGGCGCAGACCTGGACGTGATTGGCTGGGTCGTTGCGGGGCGGGGGGCGGGGCAGGAGGCGGGGACCTGCAGAGCGAAGGGGCCGCTCCTGCGATGGAAGGGTTCTGGGAAGGGGGACCAAGAAGTCAGCAGCGAAGGGCCTAGAGCTGGAGGAGGCAAGGAAGGAAAGGAGGGACAAGGAGAGAGGCAGGGCCCGGTGGGGCACCTGAGAAGAGGCTAGAAAATCAAGAAGGTGGGGGAGAGAAGAGTGGAGGGGGGCGGGGGGAGCACAGGCGCAGGGCTGGGTGGGGGAGAAAAACAGTCCTGGCGGGTCTGGGAAATG